TACAAGCTTAACGATTGCTGGTTCCGGCACACCTCAACCGATATCTGTATATTCTAGTTTGAATGGGTTAAATGTTATTCTGCTTAATTAATCTGGACAATATATACACCTATATAGTTAATACAATGTTAAACAAGTCAGTACAATGCTAAACAAAAATCTGCACACCAGTCAAGCCATAAGACTTGCTTTTGATTTGCATTAAATGAAACAGCTGTCCATGAGTGGTTCACTGGCTTTGCATCTTTTCCTAAGTTGTGTTTCAAAGCTGTTGTATACAGCAAACAAGACTCAATGGAATCCATATTTAAAATGGAATGAGGCAAAAATTTGATTCTTTGTTGAACTCATTTGCATATGCCCACCCAGAATCCTTTGCAGTAGTAACATCCCTGCAAATGTGTGATTTCTGTGGGAAAAGCAAGTCTTATGGGTTGACTGGTGTGCAGATTTTTGTTTAGCATTGTATTAATCCATTCATTAGACTTCAGGAAGGGTTTTCAATCAAATTCCCCCCCAAAAAAAAAACCTATTTGGATTTTGATATATAATTTAAAAAAAAAAAAATTATTTAAAGAAGTCCTTGCACACAAGCTATGAATCATATTTCATAGCCGGGTGGTAGAAGCTGGGGTCAAATAATACAAAAACTGCAGGGATATGACCAGCACTCACAGACTTTTCAAAGTTTAAAACGCAATGCTTTACTGTAGAATAATTTAAAAAGGGATGGACCAGAGTTTCAGTCCTCGTCTGGGACTTTCATCAGGTTTAGGTATAAGTGACAACTAAAAAAAGAGCATATTCATTGGTGGATAATAAAGAAAAATTGACTTACCCTAGGTGCTGTGCATAATGCTGCTGGCATTCCAAAATTCAAAGTGCGTATGTGTGTACATGCTCCGCCCACACATAACGTGATGGCGTGGAACATGTTGACCTGGCGACGGGAGAAACACTCCATCACCAGGGAAACAAACAAAAGTGCTAATCGTGTAAGCGAATGGAGGCAGATGTTAAGTGCCTATTAATCCAATGACTCTATGGAACAGTGCAGTTAAAATATAACACATCTTACCAGGTCTCATCTTGTCATTAATACCGGTAGCACCAGAAAGTAGAATAGGATTCGCGGCAGGACGTTCATTTTTGTCGCGTGTATCCTCCCTATGCATGAGATGGGCTTGGCGGTCCATCTCTCAATGTCGGTCTTTAGGGTACGGATTATGGTATCGTAGTTTAACGGTTTAAGTCTGGCTGGGTCTGAGGTCTGAGGTCAAGTGTATGCCGAGGTATCTGAAGGAGTCCCGCTGGACCAGTAGCCCGTGTTGAGTCCGCAGCAGCACCACGTCCTGGGCCCCCATGTGGAATGGCATAGCGCAGGACTTCCCCAGGTTAACCTTATAACCTGAGATGGCTCCGTAGCATTCGAGCAGGCTGACCAGCAGGGGGAACGAATTCTGCCCGGACCACCACATGTACCAGAATCTCGCCTTAGGGGTAGTGTATAGAGCCTCCACAGCCTTCCTGAATCCCGGCGGGAAACCCAACCACTCCAGTAAGCCGAACATGTAGGGCCAGAGCACCCGGTCAAAGGCCTTCTCCATGTCCAAAGACAGGGCCAGGGAAGGCCCCCCCCTGACCCCGCAGCCACCACATTAGGTCCGCGGCCCATCTGGTGTTCTTAAAGAGCTGTCTTTCTTTTATGAAACCTACCTGGTCTGGGTGTATCAGGGTTCGCATCAGTGGGTTCAGTCTCCCCGCCAAGACGGCAGCGAAAAGTTTTGCATCCGTGTTTATGAAGGATATTGGCCTATAGTTGCCCATTTCCTCTCCTGGCTTGCCTTCTTTTGGCAGCAAGGTGATGTTGGCTAGTTTTCTGTCATCTGTGAATGGTGTACCCCGCTTCACCAAATTAAAGAGTTGTCAGATGTGGAGCTAGGGTTTTGCTAAACGTTTTATAGTACCCCCTGCTAAACCCGCCGGTCCGGGAACCTTGGTGCTCTTTAGGGCAGCTGTCGCTGCTTGGATCTCCCCCAGGGTGAAGTCGGCATCTAGGGCGAGTTTCGCCCCCTCGGGCAGCGCTGGGAGCTTTAGGGTGATAAGGAAGGACTCCAGGTCCATTCTATAGTCTGGGTTGGCGAAGGTCTTGGTGGGGGAGTGGTTGTAGAGCTTGGTGAAAAAGTCCCTAAAGGCCATGTGTATCTCCCAGGGGGTTGTGACCATGTGTCCCTTGGCTGTCTTTATAGCTGCTATGGGCTCCCGGCGCACTCTGGGTTTTAGCCCCCAAGCTAGGAGGGAGTCCATCTTGTCACTTTTTTCATAAAAGAAGCATTTACACCACAGTAGGTGCTGAGTTACGTCCTCTAGTAGTGTGTCTTTGAGTGAGTGTCTCGTGGCATTAAGTTGGGCTAGTACGGTCGCGGAGGGAGTGGTCTTATGCACGTTTTCTAGATGCCTCAAGGTCTCTTTGAGGTCTCTGAGTTTTTGTGTTTTAATGCGTTTCCTATGGGTTGCTATGTTTATGAAGTGCCCGAGGATGACCACACCGTGGGCATCGCTACATCCGGGGTCATGTTGTCAGAGAAAAAAGTTGCAAGAGTTTGGGTAGTGTCTGCTACTATCTGGCTGTCGCGCAGGAGGGGGGTATTCAGCCGCCATGTCCAGTGGGAGTTGGCACCCGGGGTCGTCAGAGATATCGCAATGCTCGCATGGTCCGACCAGGTGATGGAACCTATCTCTATGGATTGGACCGATCTCACCAACATGGGATTGGCCAGGAACATGTCAATGCAGGAATAACAGTCGTGGGGTGCGGAGTAGAAGGTGTAGTCACGGATTTCGGGGTGCTGGAGTCTGCATGAATCCAGCAGACCAGATTTCTGCAAGAACCGATGTAGCAATTTGTCCTGACTCCCTAAACCGTGCAAGCGCTGTAGCCCCAGCCGCGTTCCCCTGTCGACCCGAGGACATGGTGCTGCATTGAAGTACCCACCCATGAGGAGAAGGTCGTTTGCCCCTGCCTGGACCAGTGGGAGGAGCGACTCAAAGAAATATGGGTCGTGCCAGTTAGGTGCATATATGTTAAGAAAGTGGTATGTGCGGCCGGCCAGTGTACACGTTGTACATGCATTTTCATTGTACTTTACGTTTTTTGTTTTTTTTTAATACATTTGTGTTTTCCCCTCGTTTTGTGTCCGCTTTTCGTGAGAACCCTGCCAGTGCCGGTCTGGGGTTCGAGTGTTCAGCCGTCCGAGGGCTCATTGGTGATGCATATGACGTTGGAGTGACCCCAGGTGAGCCCCCTGAGTCTCAGAGCGAGACCCCTGTGTCTTCTGTGAAACCCACTATGGCCCCTGGAGTCTAGATCGGGTAAAGAGCAGTCCCAGACCCCACACCACCCAAAGCCCCTTGTAGTCCCTGTCCCCTGTCACAAGGGGAGAGGAGCCCGCACCCCGTGAGTTGGGGCAGATGTAGGTAAGGGGGGGGGGAGGGGAGAGAGGCCCCGGACAACCCATGGGTCCCCGGGGAGGGACAGTAGTGGGCCAACAGTGTACCCTCGGGATTCCTGGGCTTCTAGCTTCATGTGGGGCCCCCTCTGTCCAAGTCAGCCCTGGGCAAGCATCTCTCACTCTGTCCAAGTCAGCCCTGGGCAAGCATCTCTCACTGTGTGTGTGTTTGTGTCACGGTCTGTCTGTGTTATAGTGTGTGTGTGTCTTTTTTAAGGTGTGTGTCTGTCATGGTATGTGTGTGTGTCTGTCATGGTATGTATGTGTGTTTTTACTCACCACTTTTTTTTTCCCCCACGTCGTGCTGGTCTCCCCTCAACTGGCCCTGCCTCTATGGCTGAGATCATCAAGCTTTCTGTCTGTCACGGTGTGTATGTGTGTTTCTGTCTGTTACGGTGTGTGTGTCTGTGTCACGGTGTGTGTCTGTCATGGTATGTGTGTGTGTGTATGTGTGTTTTTACTCACCCTTCCCCCCCCCACGTCGTGCTGGTCTCCCCTCGACTGGCCCTGCCTCTATGGCTGAGATCATCAAGCTTGATGATCTCAGCCAATCTGCACTGACACAGGAAGCACCTCTAGTGACCGTCTGAGTGTCTGTCACTAGGAAGCAATGTAAACACTGCCTTTTCTCTAAAGTCAGTGTTTACATTGAAAAGCCTGCAGGGACAGGCTATAGACACCAGAACCACTACATTAAGCTGTGTGTGTGTGCGCGCGTCTGCTAGTGAGTGGGCTTGCTTGTGTGTGTGTGTGCCTGCTACTGAGTGAGCTTGTGTTTTTATGTCAATCACCTTATGTATATCAGTGAGATTGTCTATGAGGCTGTGTATCAATGAGCTTGTGTCAGTGAGATTGTCTGTGTCTGCATGTGAATATGCTTACTGTATAATTAAAAATTTTACTCTGAAAGGACCGATATTTTATATTGGAAAAAGATATAGATAGATAGATAGATATATAGATATATATATATATATATATATATATATATATATCTATATATATATATATATATATATATATAATCATCTAGGGTGGCAAGACATAGCCTTACATATTACATGCAACAATATATGGCGCAATTACTTATGGGGTTGGCATAGATTTTTTTTTTTTTTCCAGGGCTGCTTTGGAATCCCCAGTCTGGCCCTGTCTGTGGTAGGCCATGATCCTGAAAGGGTGACCCCAGGCAAAGCGGACATTGTGCTCCCGGAGTGGCGCCAACGGACGCCACTCTTTCCTCCTCTGCAGCGTGGCTGGGCTGACAGGGTAGATTTGGACTGTGCTGCCCTGGAAGCTGAGGAGAGCATTTCGCGCTCCCCTCAAGCTTTGGTCGCGAAATGGTGCAGCTTCAGGATGATGTCACGAGGCTGCACACCGTCCCCTCGTCTGGGCCGCAGTGCTCGGTGGATCCAGTCTATCTCCCATTTGCCATCAACCAAGAGGGCCAGAGGGCGCAGAATGCCCAGGACGAGCTGTTGCAAGTCGCCATCACCAGCTCCCTCCGGTACGCCCCGCAGTCGGAGGTTGTTCCGGCGGGACGGGCAGTGCCAGAATTCGTTGGTGGAGCTCCAGGGTGCAGTCGGCCATGTGGTTGTGAGCTGTCACCACCGTCTCCACTCTCTCCTCTAGATCGGCCATTCGCTGTCCCACCTCCCAGATCTCTGCCTTTATTTCTCTTGTGCTTTGAGAGATCATCTGGGTAAGGTAGGTCTTGAGGTCACCAATGTATCGTTGGATCACCTCAGGGTCCCCCGGTCGTGGGTTCAGGGTCTCCCCGCCCGTTATTGCCTCCGGGGAGGTAGGCCCTCTGTCTCTGGCGTCACCTTGGGAGCCCATGTGCTCCCTGCCAGTGGGGGCAAAAAGTGTTGCCACCGACGTCTCCTTCTGTTTCAACCTCTGTTTTTTGGCGGGGTCTTTGTAGCCATCTGGTTTGTGTTTGAGTGGGGTCAGTTTTGGTGAGTGGATGTGGGTGCCTGGTCTCAGATTGGTGCAAATTGCGGGTGTCTGGAGCGGAGCCACAGAATTAAGCTGCCATTCTGCTCGACAGCTAAGCCACGCCCCCTGCAGTTCCGGTTTTAATAAGAAACTCTCCTTCACCCACATCGAAGATGGCGCCAACGTGCGTGCGACGTCACGTCATAGATGCTCACAAACGTTTTGGGGTCAGAGGCCAGAGACAACCAATTACAGCTTCAAGTGGGTTATTTAAACCCAAATTACCTTTTTGTCAGTGCCCTGTCGTGGTTTCCACCAACTGGTTATCCGAGCGCATGTCCCTGATCGTGTTTTTCTGGTATTTGATTTTGGCTTTATTTTGACTTCCCTGATTTCTGGTATTCTTGACTTCTGGCTTTCCTCATCGTTGTGTCTCGTTCTGTGTCCCTGACCTCTGCAAGTATTTTGACTATTCTCCGGTATGTTAAGTCTGGCCATTCTAAGGTCCGGTTAAACGTTATCCTTAGTCCTAGGTGTGATACTATTCTGTGTGCTGGATCAATTATAATCCTAACAGTACCTCCGAGTGTGAGGATGGGAGTTGGCCTTGCAGGACCACTCAACTAAGGCGAAGAGGCCTATGAAGAATTTTTCCTAGTTGGCGAGGATTTCTTGATGGTTACTTCATACCTTGCAAGGGTTGTAAAAAAATAAAAAAATTTTTATATATATATATTTTTATCACGTACCTTGCTAGTGTACTGGTAGAATGTATTTAAATATTTGTGATGTTTATATTGTTCTTAGACCTCAACAAAAATGTAATATTAAAGATTTTTTTTTATAGTATTACGTAAATTATATAAGGATTTCTAGATCATGATAAAACGTAAGACGACACCACACATTCCTAATTATTTGTACTTTATTGGATGAGTTATAACCATTGTATCCCCAGAAGTAATTATAGTCCGTAGAACGTGAGATTATTGCTAGATAAAGTAGGAAATAACTGTACCAAGGGAGGAGAGGGAAAGGGGAGAGGAAAACAAAACAAAAAAACTTTTAACAAGAATGTAAAGAATTACTAACCAGAATTACATGTTTAAGTTGTAATGGAAGAGCTTGAACCTGCCCTTGTGAGGTTTACTAATATCTGAATATATTATTTATGGAGGGAAAACATATAGTTTTATAATATGCTTTAGCATATGGACCTACCTATTTATGCTTATCTGAACTTTAAGATTTATAACTGGACGGCATAATACCAAAAACACCTATAACCATTTTACTTTATTTAAGAATAGAGAAAAAAAACTTCATCTATTTAACCCGAAACTAACATTTTTGCAAGTATTTAATACACTGTTTTAGTATTTAACAAACTTAATTCTTAACGAAAATTAAATGAATACTTTAATGCAGGCATCTATCGGATTGAATACAAGTATACAACTAAAAGAATGGACATGAACTAATAACATGTACATGAAAATGAATTTAGCATTGTATTAACAATTTAAGCCAGACATTTGATTATATGAACAGAAATATTCATACGAATGATTTATGCAAACATTTTGAAAAACTGACAGAAACTGAACTGAAAGTTAGTATAAATGGAATCTAACGAACACTCAAATTGAATATGAAACTCATGAACGCTGGGAATGGCCCGGCATTCGTTTGTGTACGAAAGCAACATCAGGAATTTTAACAGCCGAACTAGGACTTAAACACACTGTTTTCAATGAACTTCTAAATACACACAAATGAACAGCAAACAAACCAGAAATATGAATGAATGAGTAGAGTTCGTATAACCAAATTACTTACAATTGTAGTTGTGACTTGCGGAAGGGACTGTGTTCTTGTAATTAATACTCACGAATTGAACCGAAAGATTTTTTAGGAACGCTGAATTCGAGTAGGTACGTCGGAGCGGAATGACGTCAGAGGTCAGTGCAAACCAGCAAAGGAGACAGGAACTTCCAAAGTCAGCGACAACAGGTAACCAGGGGCTACCGGGGTGTAAATAGGTCAACTAGCCCGGGGTTTAAATAGGTCAACTAGCTTACGCCTTACACACACACACACACACACACATATATATATATATATATATATATATATATATATATATATACACACACACACACACGGTATAGTTTTGTTTCGATGTTTTATAACTTAAAAATGGGCTCACTAGGTCCATAATGCATGCAGAACTCACATGGGAAGATTTATGGATTTTGGTAAATAGACCTGTGCATTCAGTTTCTTCCAAATCAAAATATGTCTGAATTTTGGGCATCGGCATGAATGCCAAACTCCAAAAAACTATATAGACAAACCACAAAACAAGCAACATAGACAATGTACAAAACTGTGTCATTTATTTATTAATTTGGAGTTCCATGTGTGATGCCAAAAAAAAGATCATGGATGGAAAAAAAGCTGATTAATGCTTAGGAGACAGCCACTAAATGCTGATTTTATTTATAGATCAAGTGTGAAGCTGATTGAGGGGGGGGGGAGAGGGGGAGGAGCAACAGTAATATAAATAAATTATATTTATATATTTAACACATGGATAAATATAAATATTTTACCGCTATTTAATACTTTTTCTTAACTTGATCAGTTCACTATTTTAAAGTACATTGATTGGCCTATTTTGCACTATTTTTTCAGAAATAATTGCAAGAACTAAATTCTTCTGAACGGAGCAACCACACGGATGAATACCGAATTGACCAAAACAAAATGCATTTTGAAAAAAAATCACTTTGGAGAGAAAAAATTATTTCATTTTGCACAAGTCTAGTAAATAATTTTGGAAAACAAAAACATTTATTTATATATATACACACACACACACCCCCACACCTTTTTCTTCTCAACTGCCTTGTTCAAGTGCATTAAAATATGCATAATTGTTAGATCAGGGTGGCTAAAAAGTAGATCCTCAGACGTTGAGGAACTACAACTCTGATGATGCTTTATATGCCTTCAGAATGCCTTTAGAATAACAAAGTATAATGGAAGCTGTAGTTTTAAAAAAAAGATATGGTGGATATATCTTTTGGGCACACCTGACTTAGATATTCCCTTTAAGTGAGCAAGTGATTGTGCATGCATAAGCAGCTGTTCATTTTAATAAAGAAAAATTTAATATAGGAAAACATACAGCTGTACGCTCATATCTCAGAGTAGAAACCTATGATGTATATGAAAGCCTGGTTTCTGCAATGTTTATCCAAAATATCCAGAATAAGACTGACTGGATTATTTGTTATTCTGAGATTTGTATGAAAATCGCTATAGATTCACATATTTTTTGGCAAAATATCCAAGCTGGAAATATAGCTCAACTGTAGATTTATTTTCCAAATTCAGTTCTTGTGACCTAAAATTAAAAATTCCCTGGTCAACTCACAAAAAATCCTGGTTTAGTAAGGACCCTGCCACATTCTCCAGTTATTCACACTAATGGAGAAAAATAATTTAAAAAATTCAAATATTGCCAGGATGACTGTTCTTCACATAGTCAGATTCACTACCAGCCTGTGATAATTTGAGGAGGTGAGATATTGCTAATAATTCTTGGTCATTATACCGAGCTTCATTTTCAAACTGGTGAAAATATAATTTAAAACCAGATAGGCAACCTTCGGCACTCCAGATGCTGTGGACTACATCTCTCCAGGAGCATTAAGGAACATCCACAACGTGTGAGGTGCCGAAGGTTGCTTAAGAACAACTGCTTTCTTTAAAAATAAACAGCATTTACAAAATCCACCCACTTACCTTCATAAAATGACTTCTATATCAATTGGCAAACAATTATTACGACACACACAATACATTCCGTAGTCTATTTGAATAAATAATAGGTGTAGCAACTTCTTAAACCTCCTCCACTGTTTCTAATATTAAATAACTATAACTGGTTCTTAAAATAACTTCCTTTGGCTGCGGAGAAAAAAAACCAATACAAGCATTTATATTACTGAAATTATTATTTAGATATTTATAACTGCTTGGGTAAAAATATATATTTTTAAATCTAAGGGGTGTTTGAGGCTGCAAGTTCACCAGTTTGAAAGCATAATTTATGCTCTAAATATGCTCATCAATGTGACTTTCAAGAACAATTGAGACTGATGAGTGGTTAATGAAATGGGATAGGGAGCTGTCTGCAAAAAAATATTTACTGAGAGTCTGTCACTATAACAACTGCAGGACACAACCTTCCTGATTCAATACTTTTTTACTAGATTTTATTATACAGCACTATTGTTCCAGTAAATGCAACCGCTTTCTAAATTCACTGCCTACTATTAAATCCCAGCATGAACATTCAGAATGTGCATGCACGTGCAATACACACAGAGTGCAAAGTTTTGTATATGGCAAATGCATACAGTGATAGTTGCATCCTCGGCACATGTGACATTAGCACTCTGTTCTGGGCCACCTAATATCAATTCTGGGCATAAAATAAGCCTGTTATTAGTGCACACTGCCGACAGACATGAAAATCTTCCCCTTACAGGCAGAGCTCCTGCAAGGGGTAGATTGCTATCCTGTACCTCTGCTCTCCCGTACTGCGCTCCCACCCGCCTTCCTCTGTTTCTAAGTTTTATTTAAAAAAAAAAAAAATTACCAGATTTTACTAATTTCATGACGTAAAGTCATGATTTTATAAAGGACACGGAGGCGAGTATTATGCTTTTCTCTTTCTTTTATTCTTCAGCAGCAAAAGAAATATAGTATATATATTAAATGCAAAAAAGGAAAAACAATTCAATAACACCACATCATAACTTCTAAAGGGTTAATCAAATACCACATATGAACCAATCAGAGTGTCCCCATTACAACAAAGTCCCATG